AAGGAAGCAGTGACACCTACTACTTGGTTCTTGCTGCTACGCCGAATGGAGAAGAGAGGGTACCAGTCATTCTCGGTTTTGATGGGGAATCTTATACTATACTAGCTGTATCCCTCAAGACCAAGTTCAAGGTTTTACAGCAATTAGCTATGAGGGGATAACTAACTAGAAGCAATTCAAACCATCTTATGTAGTTTCTGCAATCTTGCACGTATTCTTAGATGCTGGATGACTAAATCTGTGGGATGTGGCACATAAGGTGCCATAATGTAACCACAATACAAGGCACATTTTGAAATCTCATTTCAGAAACAGCTAAATGAGATTCATGTAGGTAATCCAAATGTCCAAAGATGTAGACAGGCATCATATAGGTGTTTTTTTTTTTTTTTAAAACTCCTGTGTGCTAGAAAGTATGGGCACGGAATGCATGTGAAAGCTGCATTGTCTTTTAAGACTTTAAAGGAAGCTTGTCTCACCATCCTCACACAAATGTCATCTAAGCTGCTGCCACTCATTCTGAAGTGGACAGGCACAAACCCAAGACTCTCAAGTCTTACACTTAAGGGTATAGGCAAGGAATGGGTTACCACAGAGAAAGCTGTGGTCTAACCGTATTTGTATGCTCAGGCCCTGTGGGAGCCCACAGCAGCAGCGGCACGCATCCACCTTAGCAAGCGAGCACAGCATCTCACTGTGAGAGCAGCACACGTCGACCCCACTGTGGGCACACTCTGCCTGTCCCAGTTGGGTAACATCTCCCAGAGGAGACCTATGGCCAAGGACTTTGAATGCCAAGATGTACCTCATCAGTTCAGCTGTTTCAATTCTGTTCTCTCCATTCTTCCTCATCTCCTACTCTGTAGCATTTCACCAGTTGGCGAGGCGACTTTCCAAATAGCGTATGAGACTTGCTTATGGATAAAGTTTTCCATAGGCAATAGGCTACTTCTAGTTCAGTACTTTGGTGGCGTGAGGAAAGATGCCAAGTAAAACCGTAAATACCTTAAAAAATCTGGGCCACTCAGATTTCAAAATGGAGCTTTTGTCCCCAAATCACTTGTGTATTTCCATGAAATTGTATTAAAGGTGTTTTTAGTTGTTGTTCTGTTGGCTAACATGTTACTTTCCTTGGAAAAAAAAAAAGCTATTATCAATGTCTATGGGCAAGACCATATGTATATTATACAGTAACGAGAAAAATCATTGTCTGTGCCTGTACTTTCTGCAAATGAACATTCTACATGCTTAGTCCTTATTTAGTTGTTCTTAAAATAGGTTTTTGTAGATATTTCACTCCAAGAGTGACAGAACTTTTTGCTTTGTGGTTGATTTTTTAGGGGGTGTTATTCAGTCCTATATTAAACTGAGACATGAACTTTGAGATAGCATCAAATGTTATAATGGAAGAGTGAACCGAGTGCCACTCTCATTAATAACTTTCATTACAGTGGAAGCAAGAACAAACTTATCAAGAAACTAAAAATTATGTTCCATACTAACTTATAGGAGATATTTCCTCATTAAAATAAAATCAAATTCCTTTTCTAACAGGCTTCCGATGTGATCCCTTTAAATCCTCAATCAAGTCTTCAAAAACCATCTATGAAAAAGACTACCCAAATCCTGATTTCAAACATGGAATCTGGAGAGGGAGGCACAGGTTTTAAAAGGTACGGAGAGTCTGTATACCAATGTAAAAACTAGAATTCTTTAAACGAATCTGAGAGCTGCTAACATTCATACGTACCGCTTTATGAAATGGCATGTGGAACAAAAAGTCTCTAAAATGAATGTTCTCCGGCCTGCTTTCCTTAGGAACTACGAAAGAGAAAAGAACATGATTGTAATTTTTGTTTCAGGCAATTTATTCATGTCTGGACTTAGGTACTGGTCCTTCTTTACTCTTGCCATCAATACGCCTCCAGCTGTAGAGGGAGTTCTATCTTTTAGAAGTTCTTATTTTCAAGAATTTAAATCTTTGATAATAAAGTGCACTGTTGGACAAGACAGGTCCCTCCATAATGATTCTTCCCATTGTATTTCTGCAGTGCATAGTTGCTGATGTATATGTATCACAGGATATAAGATAACGTAACAGAGGGCAGAGAGGTTAGGATCAGAAGAGAATATGGTGATCATTATCAGATTTACTGGATAATTTCACAAAATTTACAATTCTGGTGTTCATAATACATTTCTGCCGGTCTGATTTAATAACTAAACTCTGGAGAGAGAGGACAGCTACAGAGGCAGGACCGATGTGGCCTTAGAAGAAAACCCTACAGACAAAAACTTTCCAAGAATCACCCTCATGTCATCGTGAGCTTTGCCTTGTGTATAGAAAACAGATTGTAGGAACAAATGCAGCGATCCCAGGCCCTCAGGCTCTAAGTGCCTTGTGAAGACTCATGGACTGAGCCTGTTGACGTGCTACCAGCCATGAAGGATATTAAAGATGAAATATAAATAGTCTGGACTGCAACTCTGCCACTGGGCCAGTAAGAATTTCCCTCGATTACAGTATCTCACAAGGCCACATAAACACAACACTGTCTAACTGAATAATGAAAGCAGTGCTGGGGATTATTCTTCTCTCTCGCAGCAAGGAAATAACACATTTAGGTAATAATTTTAAATCGTGATATACAAATGGCACTAAGTCCAATGAGAAAAAAGAAATACTAAATTTCCCTTCCAAGAATGCACACGTACTGAAGTTTACAGAAATCATAGGCCTAAAGTCAATACCATCTCATACATTCTTCTCTTAAACAAGAGAAAACAATTTGCAGGAAATGCAGGTGATTTATACTGCTGCAGGTGCCATTCAATCATAAAGGGAAAAAAGCATCTTAAATGACCAATTGTACAGCTTTTATTATTGACTTAAAATACTAAAGAATGTTCATCAGGAATTTGCAAGTGCAAACTGACAGCTGATTTACATACAAAATATTGACATCATCAAGTAAATTGTTCTAAAGAAATCACCTACCCTCATTGTGAAGAAGCGGTAGGAAGCGGGCTACAGAAAAGCCCCACAAAGAGCCACAAAAATTTTCCGCACCATTAACTCTCAGCGAGCTCATCTTAGGGATGAAATTTTGACCCTGCTGAAGGCCTGATTACACTAAAATTACTTAAATGTGGTCAGATACAGAAAATGCTCATTACAAATTTGATGCCTGAGCCAAAACATCGGCTTATGCTTTGGATCAGACCGTTGCAGTATACTTACAGCTCAAGGCTTCAGTGTTCTGGAAGGCAGAGCAGGTGTGACTTACCGTTCAGATTTTCCTTTTCTAGTCTGTTTCCAAGCAGGGTGTCTCTAAGGTGGGGCACTGTTTCCTTTAAGTAAAAAAAAAACCAAGCATAAAGCCAGCAGCAGAAATAGGTCACAGAAGTTTACTGTAGAAATAATGAATAACTCTAAGAGCTGGATTCTTTAGCATTCTGAACACCAAGCTTCTCTCTCCAGGAAAATAATTTTAAAAGACTGAAAAATATCTATGATATGCTGTAAGTAGGTGCTAATTTTAGCATTTATACCTAAGAGCCCTGTAGAGTTTTTACCTATCAGTAAGTTACATTGATTCTGGCGTTAGACTGAAGAGGCTTGGGGCTTTATTTTTTGCTTTGGACAAGTGATTTTTTCCTCAAAAATCTCAGTGAAGACCAGAGAACTTCAGTGACAGCGTGATGTAAATTCATCACGTCCAAACTGGGGTAACAGTGACTTTTCTACAGCACAAACCCAAAGGAAAGTCACACATGCAACGCAGGGTATAAACCACCACTAGAAAGCAGCTTTTTCCCTAAGCAGTGAAGTCAGGCCTAGTAAATCTTCTTTGAAATACAGGCATCTTTTAGTTAACCAAGAAAAAAAAGACTTAGTGCTGCTATCTTTGCACAGATTAGATTCACCTTCCTCCACAAGTAGCTCCCCCGACTGATAGAGCAACACCAGCAATTCCCATCCGTGTGCTTGGCTGCAGACAGATTTGGGAGGGGGCATCCTCCATGCCCTCGCACTGCTGCTGAACAGCCAGTGCTGGGCTGCTGGTCTCCGGCCTGGGAACGGGGCCCCTACACCAGTCTAAGCCCTTGCACTTGTGCTGTTAAGTGTTCTTCTGTGGGGACAAAGCTCGTGCTATTTCTTCAGTAAATGGAAACACAAAGAGCATTTAATCTCTCCTCGTTGGCAGCATCTGATAGCTCTCCCACTCTGTAGAGCAGTAGACTAGTTTTGGTTTTCCTCTTTCTACTAAATGCACCTAAAGGAGAACAAGAAAATACCTTTTTTTAATGCACGAACTCATATAAAATGAGGGTGTAACCTCTTCCTCCAGCTGTCTTGTTAGAATTAACAAACCTCCTCGCCGTGTCCCTCTCCTTAGTGTGCAGCTTTGATGCAGTTCTTTCAGTGACTCAGTGTGGGGGCTTTTGTAAATCCTGGGTTTGTGCACCTCCGTTTACTCCACACACTGGCTACCAGGGAGCTGCAGAGCGTGGCTAACGACTGTGAATTTCAGTAAGCAGCCTCAGCACTTTCAGATGGGCATAAAGCCCAATGTAAGTCAGTATATATTAACAACGTATGCGTGATGTACGTCTGTGAGCTGATGCTGTTCAATAGCGCATTCGGTTTGTTCAGCTGCAGAAGATTTCATAAAAGATGCATAGATCTAAGCATCGCCTAGCGGTTTAGCACAGAACTCTTGAAAGATGAACATATTTAACACATGATTTTAACCAAATGCAACAGCAGTTTAAGTGAGGCAAAATAAATTCAAGAAGCCCTTCGAGTAACCAAACAACAGTGGAAACAGGTATCTAGAAGATTCAGAATGATAAGCAGCAAGTTCCTTGGAAGCTGATGGTCACATAAATCATGACTTTTGTTTTTGACCTCGCATGTAGGAGCCAAAATACTAGAGTTTGGTTTTGGAACTTCTGATCAAGATTCCCATCAAGAAACATAAATTTCAGACTCATACCTGTTGAGTGGACTGTAGTCTCTGGTTTTCATTTTGCCACTGTTTAAATCTGTCAAGGGCTTCATCCACAGAAATTTCCCCCTTTTTCACTTGTTCCTGCAGGTCGATGAGTTCTTCCTGCTCAGCAGGGATGTTGTGTTTCACAGTGCTGTCAGTTACTGTGTCAGTGTGGCCTCGGTGTGCTGCGACAAAATGATAGAAAATATTATTAACCCATTTCATTCCTTTCTCTTTATGATGCAAGTGCTTTTTTCAACAAAGGCATGTAAGCAGTGATTTTATAATCTGAGATTAATAAAAACACACCGTCTTTCGGGTGACTTCCCCCCTTTTCTTCTTTCTGTTTGTCTTTTTTTTTTTGAACTTTTTTTAATGAGACAAATGCAACAAATCAATGAGAATTCTACTATTACTCTTTGGCAGCAGAGTAGCATCTTAAACATTTCATTCATTACTACTACCCTGATCCACAGATTCTCCGTTACTGTCAGTTCAGTAAGAATTTCCTTTTAGCGCTAAAGCTATAGTACTGACATTTTAAAGGAAATCGTTGCCATGTTAAGAAAAAACACCCACACTGCCTTTTCTCCCTTCCTTCTCCAACTTCACACATTACATTTCTCAAAAGCTGGGGCAGATATGTGGCCAGAAAGCACTTTGAAATGTCACGTGACTTCCTTCCCCCAAATTATTAAAGACATTGCAGTGACAAGAAAACATTAAAACCTAGACCTCCTGGAGGTTATGATACAGGTGCACCACTGAAGGGAAATGACAGGGAGACGCGTGATACCAGTTTCACAGCTTGGTCTGGGGAGGTGTAGCACTGTGCATCTCCATGTGCTACTGAAATGGCCGATCCAGAACACGTGAGCAGCCATGAAACAGGGCTCTCCTACAGGCAGCTCTCTGTATGACGCTGTTGCAAAGGTGCCATAAAGTACCTGTTTTGCTGCACAGAGAATGCAGCCAGGATAAAAGTTTAAATCTTAAGTATGATTTTTGGGTAAGTTTTGCTGCTGTGCTAAGCACCAGTATCTCTATTTTAAGCCAGGAAGGACTGTGCAAAAGGAAATGCACTACAGAAGTGAAAACACAGCTTCTCCCACTCCCTCCTTTAGATCATACAAGCACCTATTAGACATGAATGTCTACTCTTTTGCATCTCAGCCAATTATTTCTATTTTGACAGAGTAATGACCCTAATGCCTTGCACCTGCTAAGATTATTTGAAGATCAGACCAGCTGAGGTGAAACCGCATTCTTCCTATCAGCAAAAGGGGCATGTCTGTGGGGGCGTATTTCCTCAGACCCATAAAAACTACTCTGTTTTATCAATCATAGAATACTTTGGGTTGGAAGGGACCTTTAAAGTCCATCTAGTCCAACCCCCCTGCAGTGAGCAGGGACATCTTTAGCTGGATCATGCGGCTCAGAGCCCCATCCAACCTGACCTTGAATGTTTCCAGGGATGGGGCATCTGTCACCTCTCTGGGCAGCCTGTGCCGGTGTTTCAGCACCCCCACCACAAAAAATTTCTTCCTTAAATCTAGTTTAAATCTACCCTCTTTTAGCTTAAAACCATTACCCCTTGACCTATCTCAACAGACCCTGCTAAAAAGATTGCCCCCATCTTTCTTATAAGCCCCCTTCAAGTAGTGAAAAGCCACAACTGAGGTCTCCTTGGAGCCTTCTCTTCTCCAGGCTGAACAACCCCAACTCTCTCAGCCTGTCCTCATAAGAGAGGTGTTCCATCCCTCTGATCATTTTTGTGGCCCTCCTCTGGACCCACGCCAAGAGGTCCATGTGTTTCCTGTGCTGAGGACTCCAGAGCTAGACACAGTGCTCCAGGTGGGGCCTTATGAGAGCGGAGTAGAGGGGCAGAATCCCCTCCCTCAACCTGCTGGCCACACTTCTCTTGATGCAGCCCAGGATACAGTTGGACTTCTGGGCTGTACATTGCTGGCTCACGTCCAGCTTTTCGTCCTCCAGCACCCCCAAGTCCATCTCCACAGGGCTGCTCTCAATCCCTTCATCCCCCAGCCTGTATTGACACTGGGGGTTGATCCGACCCAGGTGCAGGACCTTGCACTTGGCCTTGTTGAACCTCATGAGGTTCACATGGGCCCACTTTCAAAGCTCATCCAGGTCCCTCTGGATGGCATCCTGTCCCTCAGGTGCGTCACCTGCACCACTCAGCCTGGTGTCATCTGCAAACTTGCTGAGGGTGCACTCGATCCCACAATCTATGTCACTGATGAAGATATTAAACAGCACTGGTCCCAGTACGAACCCCTGAGGGACGACAATTATCACCAATCTCCATCTGGACATTAAGCTGTTGACCACTACCCTCTGGATGCGACCATCCAACCAATTCCTCACCCACCGAACAGTCCACCCATCAAATCTGTATCTCTCCAATTTAGTGAGAAGGATCTTGTGGGGCACCATGTCAAAGGCCTTACAGAAGTCCAGATAGACGACACGCGTAGCTCTTCCCACTGATATAGTCACTCCATCACAGAAGGCCACTAGGTTGGTTTGCAGAGATGTGCTACCAATATTCCAACACAGTAAGATCTAGAAGCTCCTGTATTCTTTTCCTAAGTGGTTTAGCATTCATGAAAAGCAATGTCAGCAGCACTGGAAACTGCAGTTCCCCACTACAGAAATAAACAGGCGATTACGTGCTGCTCTGTATGCTTTAATCCTGAACTGCTACTTGTTAACAGAAGAGGAAGGGAAAATCTTCACTCAGTGTTCACTCATTTTCTTCATAACATAGTTAATTATTTTAGGGTGCCATTAATGGAGTTTATCGTAGCAACATTTTGACGTGCTACAACTCAAATAACAACTGCAGTGCCACAAGCAATTCATTTTATGTGGATCTCGGGGTACTCAGGAGAGAACTGTTGCTCCTCACACTGCTGCCTTTCCAGGACTGGAATTAGTGCACAGCTGAGCCCTCCCACCCTTCCTTTTCTTGGTTTTAATCACAATGGGGAATGGAAACAGAAAAGTATAAAGTAACTCTGACTCTACAAATCCTTTCCACATGACTAACTTTTATTTTTCCTTCTTTAATCTGATCTCTTAATGCTGCAATACCATTAAGGATATAAATCATATGTGGGAAAAATCAGTCAAAATTGAGTCACAGCATATCTCTACTAGTTCTACTGAAAAGCATCAAGGCAGTTAAAGAGCTAAATTAAATTCTGTACCGGGCTTCCTGGCATTGCAGTATGTCCTGTTGTTGTCACTGGGCACTTGAGTGGCCTTTTGCTGAAACACTACAACAAAATTAAGAATATAAGGAAGTTAGTGAAGAATAGTAATAAAAACCATCACACATTCTGAATGAAGGAAGGAGGCTCATGAAAGCAGGCTGGAATAAATTTCTTGTTTTAGCCGAGGAGTACTTCTCAACCCACTTGTCAGTCTAATGTTAATTACTTGAAAAATGGTTCTGTTGCACAGAAAGGCAGGATTACTGATGTTACAGATATCATGACAAGAAGTTTTGAAGAAAATAAAACAGACGTATCACATTAACATATTACTTGTTTAGAAAAGGCAGCTAGATCTCAGAGTTCTTCACATGGTACAGATACTTACTGTAGCCTGTTTCTTATTTTACGGGGAAAGCTAAGGCAGAAAAAAAAATAGTACTAGGCAAGCACAATGACACTGCCTAAGCAAAAGTATGTGTATATTTTTGTCTACGTTATTCAAGCACTCGGAGCAGCAAAGCATGATCACTTATTCCATTAGCATAGCCCATCATCCCCATTCCTGTGAGGTGCGCAGAGTACAGCCAGCCTGGATATGCCCTGAAATGCTGCAGTCAAACTGTTGCTGGTGGCATATGTAAAACCAGGAGGTGGGAATTGCTTGGTTTCTGACTTAGCTACTGCCATATAGGCTTTCTCTCTTGAGTCTCAGTTCTGGTTTTGGCTAAGCACACTGATAATCTAGAATAATTCCTTCCCCTTAAGTAATCTTTCTGACATTACTGCAATGCAGCAAACATGCCAGTTCAATGGAACAAATAGTTGCTTGGGGACCACGGCTCAGTACAACGGAGCTCTGCTCAAGCAGCAGAGCAGGCACGCTCTGTGTGGTACCCCAGAGTCCTGACTTCTGGCTCCTGCCAACCGGGGAAACCCAGCGGACGTCAGTTGGCTCTGTGTCTGCCTCCTCAGGCTGCCTTGTATGATGCATCCACTTCTCTCAACGGAACTTGTAAAATGGATGATCGAGACCGCTGTGACATCAAAACTCTGCACATGCTACGTGCAGAGGTGAGGAAGGAGCAAATCTAAGGGTATCTTTTCTACACTGCAGAGTAGTCTTTATGCCAACTCCTGAGCAGGCTTGTATGGAAGGTGATGATGAATGAAAACAGCTGATGTTCCTTAAAATGTTCTCAGGCTAAATGGAGAGAGTAAAAGAAGTACACAGGCAGCACAATCTGCTGATGGTATGTCCCTAGCTTCAGCCTAACACTGAGACTTTTAACTTTTGTAATACTCTTCGCTGTAATTCTCAAAGAATCCTGCTAAATATGGTTGCAGCGTTTTCTTCCATACTTGAAACAGTACTCTCTTTTTAAAGAAGAAATTAAAGTAAGCAGAACACAGAGGTAATGCAGGCAGCCTGAATTTTACTGCGTAAGGAGGAGAAGGGATACACTCAACAATATCCCTAATTGGAAAGCACTTTAATTGACAGGCTTTGAAATTTCTGCTGAGTTTTGCAGTGTTGGAGTAATCAGAAATGGAATTACTCTTCCAGTTCAAAGTAAAAATGTTAAAACCACTTTGCATGCCGCGCCTTGCTGAAATGATTTGTTGGCAGCAAGTATTCAGTGTGGGAGAGGTCAATGAAAACAAATCCCTGCTTCTGGAATGCCTGGAAAGCTGCATGCACACACCACTGTACGACTGCCACAGGTTTCCAGAAGACTCCAGCAATTTACTCTTTCATTTCTACATTCTAATTACTTACGGACAGCTTGAAGATGGTAGTGGAATGAAAGAAACTGGCAAGCTTGCACAGGGATATATTCCATTATTTCTTACGGAAGACTAAAGTGAATATTCCTTCAGTAAAGCAATATTAATATAGCAATTTTTTAAAGCGTCAGAATGCCATAGTCCTTCAACTGAGGAAGGATATATATTTTTATATTTTCAGAGCCTCTCTGCTATAGATAATCTGATTAAAACACTGCAGTACTTCTATTATGCTTTTTTACTTTATGCGCACCCTTCAATAACATCTGTATGATCAGAAAGAGAGTCCTTTTGAATTTGTAATCACACTGTGACTGGCTAAAGTACCCATAGATGCTTGTAGGTCAAAAGCTACAAATTAAATGTCCCAACCCAATTCTACAAAATTTTTGTTTATGATGCATCTCCTCTTCTCTCTCAGTTTCTCAGAATTAAAGGAGGCTGAGAGAACTAATAAGTACTTCTGCTTTATTCCCTCTTCTCTCTTCAGTTGCTACAGGACACAGAGGAAGTTCTTTGCGTGCCCTAAATACATTTTTATGTCTTAGGTAGTGAGATCGTTTTTCAGGAATGTAATGTAACCTCAATATTTCTTCAGGAAAGCAAAATCACAGAGTAAGAAAATACTGCAATATTTTCTAGTAGGCCATGAAACCAGACAACACTTAAAGTGTGACAAAACACAAATTTTGTGACAAACAGGAAGAACTCTGAGAAAATCCCCAAAAGAAGGCTTGGAAAGTGAGTGGGATCCAAGAAACTCTGAATTGCCTTTTTTATCTCAATCAGCCTAGCTACAGATGTTGTTTCAGGCTGTCTGCACATGCAGGTAAATAATGTTATGAGGCCTGAAATGTCGTAAGTATTTTCACGGTTATCACCACAAATAGAAAGGCTAGAAACATTTGATATCTAAGTCTCTTGTGTATAATTCTGTACCAAGAAGAGCATTTTATAGCCACATACTGTGCAAGAAACTGTGATGAGTATAAAGGGTCTAGAAAGAGAGAATGGAATTTTTATAATAGCTGCAGGTTGACAAAAAGAACAGGAATTTGATTTTCAGAATTAATTGAGGTTCTAACACAAAGCCGTAATGCTAAGGGATCATAGATGCACTATGACATTTCAAAAATTGCTTAGTGATAGGCCGGTAAGAACTGACATAATTAGAAACACAGGCAATCCAAATGTGGAAAGGGTTACACGACGAGAGAGGACAGCTCCTATCAGTCAAGAGGCAACGATCAACCAGGATATAGTTTCTAATTTACATTTTACTTTGCCCATCTAAACTATGAGGGATGTTGCCTCATTTCTTGTGTTAGCACCACTACCTCTAAAAATCAAACAGCAGTTTCCCACTATACACTAGTGATGCAAGTTAAGCCAGACTGATGAACCTACCCTCTGGAAGAATATGTGAGCTAATCACACATAATACCTACTTACTCAACACTTTCAGCAGAACAAACACAAAGGAGAAAAGACACAGCGAAAAAAAGATCGATAAATATCACTAATTTGAATTCATTTGGCTTAGGGATATTCAAGATGCATTTATTCATCAGCTTCACTGAGCTGATATTCCAAACAAAATTATCTATTGCCATGACTGTTTTATTTAAGAAACATTCAAATTTAAAATACAGGGGAAAAAAAATCTTTATAGAAACACACGGCTAAGTGATAATGCAAATTAATAAATACACTAGGGTTTCACTTATTAAGACATCTCAGCTCAGTTGCAAATTACAGTGAGTTTGTAAGCTTCCTCCTTGCTCTTAGGGTTTTTTTTTGCTTCATTCATTTTAGAGTTGTCACGCAATTAACTCATGATTAATGGAAGAATGGAGAAGGAGGGGCAAATTGCTAGTTGGGATATGTTGCAGGGAGAGACTCTTATCTTTGCTGCACCATTTTTTTCCCATTATTTAAACATTTTAACATTTAAAGTGTGTGTGCATAGTACCTAGGCAAATAAAACTTGCAAGTTCTTTTTCTGGTAGGGATTAGATTGTAAATTAGATGTAGCACAGTGAGGGATGACAAATACACAGAGAATACTAAGGAAGGAATATAGTAGAATGGTGCTTATTATTCAGGAGATGAGAACTCTGCAGATGCTTGTTCACATCTTTTTAGATCTCATTTTCTTTTTGTCTGTTCTGTTTGCAAACACACTGAGCATCACTCCGCATGAGGACTAGACAGAGGTCATCCATGCAATGTTAATCAGTAAGTTTTGTGAGAGATGATTAAGGACCACTCCTAAAATTTTATACAAAATACTTTACCTATCTAAGATTAAAACAAAAACTTCTAGTGATTCGTAGCATCAAATCAACTAAGGAAATGGGACACTGTAAACAACATGACCCTTGTGATTTTTTGGAGGCAACACAGCTGAGCACAGAACAAAAGCATATTAGTGTGCCTCATGACTCTGGTGTAGTTACGTCCAAGTATGGTGGAGAAGGGATGCTGGGCTGTGCTGTGCGAGGTGACAAAGGCTCAAGTCCCAGAAGCTGTCCTGTTGTGGTAGCGTGGGTGTCTGAATGCACTTGCACTGCCAGACGCCAAAGGGAAGAAGACTGGCCACTTTTAACTGCACTGGTGTGAGAAAACCAGTAATCACATATAAACTGGTACAGAAGTTCTGATCTGTTCTAAACGTGCTGCCTGACACTCAGACATTTATAAGAACACGCAACAGTCATTTCATCAGAATAAAGACAAGGTGATGTCAGGTGCATTTGCGGAAGTGTCAAACTGCCCCACCGCACGGTTATTTGCAGTGGCCCAATGCACGCTGCCGGAGTTTTGCAGCTGCAGCACCACATCCACTCATCGCAACTCACACAGGCTGTTGTCAGCCTCTACCTTCCTCAGCCACATAATTAGTCAGTTGAGACTGAAAAAACCCAGTTTTCTCAGATCAAAAGTAAAATGACTTTAAAAAGAATCACAGTGTAATGACAATGTGGAGACATATGCTCACCAGCAATTCTCTGCCCAGTTTGCAGTGAGATCCAGAGTCTGTCAAACATAAGCTCAAATCTGTTAGAATCCCAGCAACCTTAGTCAGGGGGGCCCTCATGAGACTACACAGAGATGACCGCCCTACACTGAGGCAAGATAGTAATAGATAATAATAGTAATACCAGAACCCCTTCTTACAGGAGGGGTAAAGACTGAGTGAGAACAGGTACCGGTGGTTAGTTTAAGATGCTGTTCAGAAGGCGGCGGGTGTCACTGCGGCTGCTGTACCTCAC